CAATTATTTAATAATTTGTTGATAAAATTCGTTATGAGAATTCAATTTTTAGAAACATTTTATTATTCAATAAATTATTTATTTTTGTATTAAAATAATTTAATACTCGTAGAATTTTCTAATAAAAATTGATTTAAAAATGAATTATAGTTAACATTTTAGAAAATAATTGAACATAAAAATTATTATAGCATGAATTTTTGAAAATAGTTGAATTTTGAAACGGTTTCAAATTAAAATCTTATTTAAAAATTTGAATTTTTCTAATTTTTAATTAAATATTCTATGAAACTAATTGTTTTCACAAAGCTTAATAGAAATTTTTTAAATTATTTAAAGTTTTTATTTTCAAATATATATTTAATTGAAGAATTTCTAAATAACTGAAATTTCTGTCAAATTTAATTATAAACAAATGGATTTGAAAGTTCTCGAAAAATTTTGTCAAAAATTAGTAAAAATAATTTATTTAAAGAAGAATTTTATTTAAAAATTCTAGAAAGTAATCATTGAATTGAAATGATGAAAATAATTTTCAAGAAATTAGAGTAACTTCTTATAATATAAAAAAATGATTTCATCACTCGGTCATCCTTATTTATTATAAGTTGTTGAATTTCAAAAAGGTTTGAATTAAAACTTTTTTAAAATCCTACTTCCTTTTGAAAAATAATAATAGGTAGGGGAACATAGTCTAGGTCGGCCACCTTTTTGACTTTTGTTTATAACTTTTTTTTAAAAATAAATTTGGACAATTGAAGTATATGGTTGGAAAGTCCTGTTTAATAGGAACATTTTTTCTGTACAAAGTAAATTGACAGGTTTAAAAATGAAAAAGTTATAAAGATTTAAAAAAAAAAAAATTTGTAGTCCAGGTTGGCCATTACAGTCAAGGTCGGCCATGTTTAAAATTCAAAGGGCATTAATCGTTAAAAAATAAAATAACATGTTTGGAGTTACGGAAAATTGATTCTTTATTGTTTACAGTTTGTAACTTAATGAAATAACAAAATAATAACAATAAACAATATAAAAAAATAAATATAAATAAAAAAAAGTTTTGCACTAAAATATTAATAAAATTAAATAAAAATATTAATAAGATGATCAATTATATTATGAGTTATACAGAATTGCAGTTTTTGCAAATGAAGTAGCTCGTCCTCAACTTTGTGCATTTTAAACACATAGTGGCCGACCTTGACAGTAAGTAACATTACCGAATTGTTGTAAACAAAAAGAAATACGTTTCGGGATTCGATTTTTTACTTTGTTTTCCTTTCAACCATGAGTCCCACAAATTTTCTGCATACTTGCCTTGACGATTCAATTTGTTTTTTATCTTTTATTAATGGTTTTTCACATTATGCACAAAACTTTTTTTGAGCTTTTTTTGTACCGACGTCACAGAAAACACAATTTTCGATTTTCCGAAAATGTAATTGAACAAAAAGTTAGGTTTCACTAAGACAAGCTTCGACAAAAATGCGCGTAGGTGGCGCTAGTGAACTTGACAAAAAAACGCGAGTGGCCTACCTAGACAGTAGGCCAACCTTGACTACATTCCCCTAATGAAATATTTATTCAGAAAAGAAATTATTGATGTTTTCGAATAATTTTACAATTAAAGAAATTCGTACATAAATGTAATAGAATTTTTTTTTCTTGGAGTATCTACTTATTTTTAGAGTGAATCAGAATATTTTTCATGGTCATAGGGAAAAAGTCAAAATTTTGTCTGGAAATCAGGAAAAAGCGGAAAAAGTAAGGGAAAAACAGAATTAAATTTTTGTAGGCAACCCTCCGTAAAATATAAATCAAAGAAAGAAAAAATTCACCTGCGTAGGTAAAGTGTATACAATTGTTAGCCTAATTAAAAACACGTTTGGGAATTGAATAAAAGAGAGAGAGAGAGAGAGACAAAAAAAATCGATTTTGAATAAAGTGTGAAATTCTAATTCGCTTCGTTAAAAACAGGAACTCGGCTACTAAGGTCTTTGTACACCTACATTCAATGTCAGCACACTTTTGAACTAACTTATCTTTTATCCGAACACTTGTATACACACTTCACTTGAACATTACACACCAATATATACGTGTCACATACACACAACACTCACACCTTAAAGGAAGTTTGTGACTCTCTGACAGACTTTACAGTGGCTTAAATTTAGTGCCCATTACAAAGTCGTTTCTTGTTTTCCGCGACACGTTATAAAAGTCGATATAAAATGTCGAAACATTTTATTTTGAATACAATGTATGTGTTTTTTTTTTTTTGGCGAGGTTGAAAAAAAACTGCCATCTCACACTCGAGACAAACGGAAATTTGACCTATCGACATTTCCCCCCCCCCCAAACGATTGGCCACCTGTTGCTTTACTACACACTCATACACATATATAGATATAGTTTAGAGAAAACGGTAGTGTATTAACACTGAACGTTCACGCTATTCTCGAGGAGACAATAAAAGAAAAAAAGGAGACGAAAAAATGAAAATAGAGTATCATACGTGACAGACACTAAACAAAAAAAAAAAAAAAAAAAAAAAATTCGTCCAATAGCCTAGGAGCTATTAAAAGTTGCCGACGATTTTTTCGCCCCCCCCCCCCAACATTAATTATTCTCGTCAAGGTCTTTTTATGCCAACATTCCTGTCGTCGACCTGAGAGTTTTATGCGAACAAATTTTTATGCAAAAACAAGTCCTACCGGACGATCTGGCTCACTGAGTAAAGAGAAATTCACGTATTTTTGTATAAATCGCGTGTTTATATGAAACTTGTGTGCTAAAATTCCTGGATACAAATACCGGAAGGAAATAGAATTTTTACAGATAATTTTGTTTCGGTTTTTCGTTTTTTAATTTTCGAAAATTTCTTCTCGATATAGGGGCAGTTCCTATCGAGAATATAAAAAACCAGATGGACAATTTTTGCCCCCCCCCCCCTGGCCCCCGTTGTGGACAATCGGGGACATTTGGCAACCCCCCCCCCCTTACACTTGTCCACTTGGATATTGCACATTTAAAAAATAAGTGTTTTTAGTAAAAAAAAAAAAGTGCAAGTTATTTTGATTTTTATAATGCAAAAAATAACTATAAGCAAATCTTTCAAAAATTGTTTTTGAATCATTTTTAACACAATTAAATTTTTTAAATATATTTATAAGAAAATTCTTTTTGAATAGTTGAAATTTTGTAAAATTTAATTGAAAATAATTAATTTATTTCAAGTATTTTGTTAAAATTTTTGAAAATCAATTTTTGAAGAATAAAAAGAAATCTTTAAAGGCAAATTTAAAAATGAAAATTAATGAAAATTAGCTTCTAATTTTTTCAAATTCAATATTTTCAGTATTTTCAATTACATATTTCCAAAAATTGAAATACATAAAAAAAATAATATTCTAGAATTATTTTTAAAATTTTGGAGAAAACAATCATATTCAAAATTTTTAATTAAAATTCATAAAAAAATTAATTACTTTTTTTAAATTATATACAAAAATTCTTTTAAAAAATTCAATTATTTTTGAAAAATTTCATTAAAATGTTTTTAAAAACTAATTAGTATAATTGTTTTATAATAATAATTTTTTAAGATTCAATTATCTTCGAACAATGTAAATAAAAATTTATGAAAATTTACTTTTTGGACTTATTAAAATTTTTGAGAAATCATGGCCATTGAAGATCAGTGACATTTGGTAATGATGATACTATTTAATGCTTTGTTTACTTGAAGCAATTAAAATTTTTGTTAATAATTTATTTATAATTTTTTTATTAACTTTTCTTGGTATTACATATTTTTTTATAAATTTTTTATAATAGTATTCATTTTTTTATGTTATTTTTATTTATTATGTATTTTTTGTTATATTCCTTATTGAAAATAATAACGTGTATTTACACTATCTATGTAGACATGTAAATACATGTGGTATGTATGAAAAAATTAAGACATGTGGAAAAAATTTTTTTTTTCCTCGTGCATATACAAGTGATTATTTTCACTACAGGTTAATTTATTTACTGTTTAAATATTTTTTTAAAAATTATTATTACATTTAAAATTAAAATTATATTTAATAAGTCAGATACAAATTTCTTTAAAAAAATACAGTGTATAAATATTATATACAAGATCAAGTCGAATTTTCTTAAATTTTACGACATTTTTTGTATATTTATTTATAAATTTTATAAATTCTATAAATTCTACCTTTTATATTTTTCTATTTTACATTCATTTTTTCAGTATTATTTGTTTTTTTAGTAAAAAATTAAAGATTTTCATTTTTTTTCTATTTAATTTAATTAATTTGAAATTAATAAAATTTTTGAAGTAAATTTTCCTTCATTAATTATCTATTTTTTTAATTTTTGAGACTTTAAAAATTAAAAAAATTGTATTATTTTATTATGACAATTATACTAATATATTTTATTATTTTATTTCATTAATTATTTTTTATTATTTTTGAGATTTTGTTCGACACTTGCTATTTGACTTATGACCTAAATATTGAGTTTCATTTTGCCTGTTGACCTTATTTTTAGGATTACATGAATCTACGATCTTAAAAATTACAATTTTATATGAAGTTTTAATTATTTAGTAAATTATAGGCAATTTAATTTTTAGCTAATATTTCTAAAACTTTGCTAAAACCGAAATTTTTGACCTAAAAAGTTGTATTATCTTTTGACCTTTGAAATTCGACCCGAATTTGAAGGGTTAAATTTGCCTCCTAATTTATATTTTAACCTATTTTTGAAAATTGTGTTTACTTTTTACAAAAATTTTTTTTTACCTGTACTTTTTAACTAAAATTATAAAAATTATTAATCCCTACCGATTTTTTTTCGACCTAAAAATTGTAGTAGCTTTTTATCCCTAAATTTAGACCTAAATTTTAAGGTTAACTTGTTATTTTTTGCCTATTTTTGAAAATTTTATACATTTTCAAAACTTGGTAAAAAATAGGTCAATTACCCCTGAATTTAGACCTTTAAAGTTTAAAAAAAATCTAAGGCCTTCTGACCTATTTTTGAATATTATGTTTATCTTTCATATAATTTTGAACTGCTTCTTAGGGTGAACTGTTTCTTGAAATGTTTCTAAATTTTTTAAGTGCATTTTTGAATATGTTATTTTTTTCAGTTCAATTTGTATTTCATCAACAGACTTGCCATTTGTTTCGGGTGTTATATAAAACATAATAACTGGAAATAAAATAGTGCAAACAGCAAAAAAACATATTATCACAGTTATACCGAGTAAATTCAATAATGTTTGAAATTTAACTAATGACAAATATCCCATTATTACGTAAATAAGACTTGTTACACTAATACCTAAACTTTTAACATTATCATCAAATAATTCGGCTTGAAATAAAAAAATTGTATTGCTCACGCTAATTGAATTTGCCACATCGAATAGAGTGAAAAAAAATATAGGGAACCAACCAATCGATGATATATCATAATTTCTATTGTGTAGATAGAAAAATATTGCAACTAAAATCAGTGATATTGAACCAATAATTCCACCGTAGAGAATAATATTTCGTTTGCCAATTTTTTCGACAATTTTTGTACTTAATAATATTGCAAATAGTCGGATGAATGATAGAAGAAGTGATGCTTTATCGGGTGGTAGGACTGCATTGCGATGTGTTAGAAATTGTTCGGTGTATGATGTAAGGGGATAGTGACCTGAGAATATGTCGGCGGCGTTTAAGCAAATTATTATTAGAATTGATCGTCGATTATTTGGATGTGCTATCAGTTTCCAGAAGTTTGTTTCTTTGATGTTGAATTTTTTTTGATTGATTATTGTTATAAATGGTGATTCTCTACGGTGGGGAGCATTTTGGTTTGATTTTTCAAAATTCGAGGTGGAAGTTGTCGTGTTTTCTGCTCCGGAGGGAATGTTAATGATTGTAAGTGCTTCTTTAGTGTTTTTGCTATCAACATCTTTAGTGCTGTTGCCACCATTATTTTTAGAGTTGATAACACTATCATTTTTAGTGGTTTTTGCACCATCATTTTTAGTGTTTTTGCCATCATCATCTTTAGTGGTTTTGCCACCATCATCTTTAGTGTTTTTGCTACCATCATCCTTAGTGGTTTTTGCACCATCATCTTTAGTGTTTTTGCCATCATCATCTTTAATGGTATTGCTACCATAATCTTTAGTAGTTTCTTCACCACTATCTTTAGTGTTTTTGACACTATCATCTTTAGTGGTTTTCAGACCATCCTCTTTAGTATTTTTACCATCATCAACTCTACTCCTTGATTCCCTTTTGCCAATACGTATGTCACAATTATCAATTTCTTTCTTCTGCTCTGTACTAAATTGAAAATTCGTCCTTGCTCCAATTCCTCCAGCTTTTGATACACGACCATTTGTACCTTGTTCTCCACCTTCTGCTAATGCTTCAAACCCATGTTGTCTCGGTTTTTTTGCCTCAATCGTAGACTCTTGAGAAAAAGATCTAATAATTTCCTCCTTCCTTCTGTTCATTGCGAAAAAAAATATCGACTCGGGAATGAATAAGAAAATGCCAAAAAATACAATTGGCGTCATTAGTAGGGCAATATTCATGTGATGATAAGATAAACATGAGCCGTACAAAATTGGCATTAAAGTACCAAAACTCATTATAAAAGTATTAATTGTAAAAAGTATGTTACGATTACCGAAATTGCTTACACCTAAAATGTATTCGGTCATGGTGCAAAGTCCACCTGCATAAGAAATTCCGCCGATAAATCTTCCTATACAGATGATGAGTTCTTTTTCACTTAAAACTAGAAGTAACCAGGAGGTAACTTGCGGTATGACGTACAGTAACATTGTTGTTTTTTTACTTATATACTTTAAGACATATGGATTTATTATGAATCCAAATGAACATCCTAAATTCGATAAAGATGATATTAAATCAAATTGTTGCACTGTTAGAGGAACGTCACGTTTTTCACTTGTCAAATATGGTAAAGCTGGCGATGTCCAAGAAATTGTTGCACCGTAGCCTGCTGATATTAAGGCAGCTGTTAGGAAAAGAAAATTTTTTTAATTAATTTTTTGTCAATAAATTTAATTAGCATAATAATAATATTATTAATATAATATTTTATATATATATATATATTAAATATAATATTTTCGTAAAAAAAAATTCTTGAAAAACCGTCTAATTTACATGCGTTCAGGGTGACGTAACCTCTTAAGGAATTTAATTTGCTTTAATGTTAATTTATTTTTTAATTTGTTTAATTAGATTTATTTAATTTGATTTCGAATTTAATTAGTGTAATTAAATTTGGTCGTTTGTTTTATTCTATAATCGAGAGAATAATTAAATTTTAGTTTGAATTTCACAATTCAGTTATTTCTTTGCTAAAAAATTGTTTTTAACAATATTTTTTCAATTTGAAAAATATTTTAATAATTTTTTTTGAAATTAAAAGTTTCTTTTTATTCGTTTTTTAATTTAAAAATTTTTAATTTTTTTAACCTACCGGTTATAACAGCTGCATATTGTATAATAACAGTTTTTGTAAAACTCTGATTATCCATTTTTTAAAAATTAAAATTCACTTTTTTGATCTGAGAGTCATTATTTTACAGACAAGTGTTCACAAGTACATTGTAGAAAAAATATGAAATAACTTTTTGAACAAAACTTGAAATTTATAAAGTCAGGTAGAACAATTATCTTAATATATTTAACATACTACTACTTTGCTCTTATCAGCTAGATAAAAATCATATAAAATACTAAAAAGCGGGTTTTCGTTTATTTTTATTTTAAATTATGTCGTGTTGTATTCAAGTTTTTAAAATGAAAAACAAATTTTTCTTTTAATATTTTTTTGCAAAACGCGTAACATGTTTGGATAATGAAAAAATATTATTTAACAGCATGTGATTGTTAGAAATTCAATGGTAATTTTTTCGACCACTTTTCTCTTTAAATATTTAATAAATTAAGCTGAAATTTTGTAAGAAAGTCTAAAATTAGAATTAAATTTATTATATTGTACAACAATAATTTTTTTGTACATTTAGTACAACAATTTTTTTATTATAATTTACTTATCTTTTTAACAATCTTTTTTTAATTTGCAATTTTACATCTTTTTTTTGTAAAAATTATTAATATTTCGAATTAAATTGATAAAATTATTTTTAAAAATAATTAAAAGTTTTATTGTTCGTAATAATTATTATTTATTTATATATGTATAATTATATGTTTGATGAAAGTTTATTTTTTTTATTTTTAATCGTAAATAAAACTTTTTTAAAAAAAAATAAGTGCATAAACAAATGCAGAAATGGTAGTAATTAGGAAAAAAATGTAATCTATCGTTTTATTGTTATTATTATATAGGAAGTAATAATATCAACGGTAAACATTATTTTAAATACCAATTTGTTTAAATAAATATAGAAAAATCATTAATCACTACAGAAAGAAATAGATAAAATTATGCAATTTCGATGGAAAAAAATAATTATTACATAAAAAAGTATCTTTTAATTCAAATATAAATCTATTTTTAATAAACAAAAAAAATTATTATAAACAAATAAAGAAAATTTATTCCAAGATTTATCGTATTAAAAAATATAGACGTAAAAAGTTATATTTAAAAATTAATTAGTTAATTTATTTAAATTATTTAATTGTTATAAACAAATGGAAAGTAATTATAAATTATGAAAAATTTATGCTGCGATTTAGGTTTTATTTTATTCTTTCATTTTTTTATTCTCTTACAAAATATGTTCTTAAAAAATTGCATTGAAAAACTAATTTGTGAATTAATTATTTAAAATTAAATTGTTATAAATAAATGGAAAACATTGAACGATTACAAAAAAATATATGTCGCGATTACATTTTTATTCTTCTTATAGCAATTAAAAATTACGGACGTAAAAAATGATGTTTTAAAATTAATTTGTTTTAACAAATTGTTATAAGCAATCAAAGAAAAATGATAAATTATTTAAAAATATAGCTGTAACTATTCATTTCTGTGGGAGAAATGACTATTGAAACTTATAGCAAACTCCAGAATTTTGATCTCAATTATAAATAATTAATAAATTGTTATAAACAAACAGAACAAATTAATATTTAATTTTTATTCGTCTTAATAAATATTGGCGTAAAAAATTATATTTGAAATTTAATTTGTTAATTAATTATTTAAAATGAATGACATAAATCTTATTCATATTCCCGATTATTGAACATAAATGTATATTTTTTAGGCAATTCGACATAAATCACAGTAGTTGACCTAAAGATTATTGAAAGTAATTTTTATTTGACTAGACACTCATTCGACAAAAATCTCATTTGATTATTAGAAAATAATTTTATTTAATCCCTAGACCTAATGCTCTCTAGACATGAATCTCGCACTCGACTTAACACTCAAGTAGAAATAATTCTCATTTTACCAGCTCCTAAATTAAATTATTTTCCAGACAAGTAATATTCATCCAATTTGAATTCAAATTCAACAAATCTACATTTTCATATCATAAGATTTATGTCGCAAATGAATATTAAGAGATTTATGTCATCTGATGTATATCACGATAAATCGTTTGGTAAATTTGAAACTCTTGCAAACAATAGTTTAATAAAAATTGAAACCAGAAATAAAATTTATTTGAAAGTTGAAAAGCAAATAAAAAGTTTAGTTGGCTTTGAGTCGAATATATCATTTTCTGGTTGTATAATTTTTTATTGTTATTGAAAATTATTTTTTGTTTTGTTTGTTATTGTTGTAATAATATAGGAATAAATTGCTATTATTTTGGCGGTGTTGTTTTACATCATTTTTCGATTATCGAAATGAGGCTAGTGGCCCGTTATCCGGAATCGCGAATATTTCTCTCTGATCCTCGCCGAAGAGTTTACGCGAAATAATGATGAGGAAGAAATGTGATAACTACTGTAATAGAGAGTTGATGACGATGATTAAATATTTTACAGGTGTGCGAGTTCCTGCTTGAAAATTGAACATGGTTTTCATGTATACATAAATATATGTGTACATATGTATATGAATATATGTATTTGTATATATACACTATGACTTTTATAATACAGAAAACCGTAGGTGGAGAGATCTCTGGATTTGATGCTCTAGATTCCTTTCCACTGTGTAGAATCCACGAGGCGTGCAATGATAGAACAGGATCTCTTGAAAAGTAATTTCTTGCTGAAATATATCAGTTTGCTTTCCTTCTTGAGATTTTTTTTTTTTATTCTCATTTCAACTCTGGCATTTTTTCCCTTTTTTTTTATTTTTGAAATTTTTTGTTATTGTCGATTCTTCTCATAAATGAAATTTGCAATCTGAGATGCCTTTTTTCTATTGTAGTTTGGAATCTGATTGGAAATGTTTTATTAAAAGTTGAGACGGAAACTGAATCAAGGGAAAAAGAGGTAGAGGAAAAAAAAGAGTAAAGGAGAGAGAAGAGAAAGAAAAGAAGAAAAAGGAAAAAAGAGATTGAAGGAGAGAAAGACAAAAAGCAAAAAGAACGAGAGGAAAAGAAAGAAGGAAAATAAGGAAGAAATAAGAAGAAGGAAAGAAAGACGAAAACAAGAAAAAAGAGAAGTAAGACGGAAAACAAGAAAAAAGAAAATATAGAAAAATGAGGAAGAAGAGAAAAAGAAGCAAAGAGAGAAAATAAAAAGTGGAAGAAAGAAAGGAAAAGAAAAAGAAAAGAAGAAAATAAAGAAAGAAAAAAAGAAGGAAGGAATGAAAAGAAAAATAATGAAGCAAGAAAAGAAAGAAGAGAGAGGAAGAAGGAAAAGAAAGAAGAAAAAAGAAGAAAGGAATATAAAGAAAAATAATGAAGAAGGAAAAGAAAGAGGAGAGAGGAAGAAGAAAAAGAAAGAAGAAGAAAAAAAGACGGAAAGATAGAAAATAAAAAAAGAGGAAGAAAGAAAGGAAAAGAAAAGAAGAAAATAAAGAAAGAAAAAAAGAAGGAAGGAATAGAAAGAAAAATAATGAAGAAAGAACAGAAAGAGGAGAGAGGAAGAAGGAAAAGAAAGAATAAGAAAAGATGGAAAGAGAGAAAATAAAAGAAGAGAAAGAAAGAAAGGAAAAGAAAAGAAGAAAATAAAGAAAGAAAAAAAGGAGGGAATAGAAAAAAATAATGAAGGAAAAAAAGACTGAGGAGAGAGGAAGAAGGAAAAGAAAGAAGAAAAAAAGACAGAAAGCAAGAAAAAAGAGGGGGAAAAGACGCAAAGCAAAAAAAACGAAGGAATAGAACAAAAGATAATAAAGAAAGAAAAGAAAGAGGAGAGAGGAAAAAGAAAAGAAAGACGGAAAGCAAAGAAAAAAGAAGGGGAAAAAACGAAAAAAGGAAAGAAAGACGTAAAAAAATAAAAAAAAAAGAAAGGAAAAACGGAAAATAAAAAATAAAAAAAAGAAATAAGGGAAAAATGAAGAAAGGATAGAAGGAAGGAAAGAGGAAAGACAGAAATAATAGTGCGAGAGTTTTTCTCAAAAAGTTCCTTGGCTGAGGAGAAAATCTTGGTATTATTGATTTTTTGTATAGCGTGTGTGGGTGGGATGGCAATGTAAATTCGATTACGTCATGTTGTGTGAATGTACGTCATCAAGTGCTGTGGATGAGAGAAGAAGGGAGCTTGACGCGCACAGTATGTGAACGTCATGGCGTCGTATAAGGAGGGTTGGAAAAATAATTGAGATTTCCTCTCTCAGTCGCTGTTGGTTTAGGGTTTACCTCAACCTAAGGTTTCAAATTTCCTCTCGTTTAATTTGCAATTACTCCAGAGGGTCTTGTAAAGTGACACTTTCCCGAACGAATAATAATTCATATTCACTTTTTTTTAATTGACGAGGAAAATGTCTTTTTCCAAAACTGTGGAAATCTCCGATATTGTATGAAGTAAATTTTCCAAGTGGCGGATAAAAAATGTTCTTTATTGGGATTTTGCAAATAGTAAATTTTTCAAATGGTGAAATAAAAATTGTCTTTTTTAATTTAAAGGAATTTTCCTATTATAATAAAAGAAAATTTTTTTTTTTTTGATAAAAATGAAAAATTTTAAACATAAATTTTCATTTTTTTCTGCAAGAAAAAATTTTTTGTTTTGGTGAAGGAAAAAATTTTCTATTTTAGTCAAAAGAAAAATTTTCTTTTTTGATAGAAAAGGGATTTTTCTTCTTTTGACAAAAGTAACAATTTTCTTTTTTTATAGAAAAGGAATTTTTCTTTTTTTGACAAAAGTAACAATTTTCTTTTTTTGATAGAAAAGGGATTTTTCTTCTTTTGACGAAAGTAACAATTTTTTTATTTTTTTGGAAAGGAAGAAATTTTCATTTTTTATTGAAAGAAAAATTTTTCTTTTTGGGAATTTTAAAGAAAACTTTGTAAAACTTAATAAAAATTTTCTTTTAATAAAAGAAGAAATTATACATTTATTTTATCAAGAACAAATTTTATTTTTTTGATGAAAGAGGAAAAAAAATTTTCTTTTATGATGATAAACGGAAAATTTTTTTTTTTAATAAAACTTTTTCTTTTATGATAAAAGAAAAAAAGTAAATGAAAATTTCTTTTATTCATATGAAAAATTTTCTTTT